TGATTTAACTGGCGACGACATATTTATTAAACAAATATTTAGAATCTAGTTAGGTTAAGCAACCATATTACAATATATTATATCTAATACATTAAAATTAGCATATTAATAAATATGTATATTCTATTTAATACATTATATCTATTTTTTATATTTATTTCATTGATATAATAATAGAGCTAGTGTTAAAACACATATGTCTAGAATTTATACATTGTCAGATATAGGTAAAGGCAGTAAATTATTGTGAAGCAATGGCTCTTCGAGCCTAGATAACATACCATCTAGCGATATCTGCCTAATCAAGTAGAACTTAAAAACCAGCTTGCTTGTGCAAATCGAGATTGAGAAATTGCTATAGAGTGTGGCAATTAACTTGCTAATAAATGCTCTGTCTTGGATAAAGACAATAAGTATATACAACAAGATCTAAATTGATCTAATAAAGATAAAGAGAAATTTTCCAAGCATATCTACCAACTTATAGATAAAGTTAAATGATTGAACTCAAAGTAGATATTCTAATATTTCAGATTACTCACAAAGATATTTCTCTTAATGAATATAAAGACAAGATTCATACAAAACTAAAAGAGATGAAAGCTCTCCAGTCTAAGATAAAAGCATCGGAGACAAGACTATCTTCAACCTAAAAGAACTCATCTATGAAGGAATCTGAGATTGATTATCTTAGAGTTGAATTATCTGTCTTGAATTCTAATTTAGCCTCAAAAAATAGTGAATTAGAGTGTATAAAGAATATATTAACTTTAAAAAATAGTGAATTAGAACTAATAAAAAATAATTTGGCTGAAAAAAATTTAGAGATACGCTTCTTAGAAACTAGACTCAAAGAGCTATTGCTCTACAATAGATTATTATCAGAACAAGTTAAGATTGGAGATAAGACAGATGAAAAAAATGATGATAATATATCAGTTATGCAGTCTCTGCCAAAGGATCTGAACTCTTTATCTCTTGCAAAATATTTTATATATAAGTCTAAGACAGAGAATAGTCAAATAGATAGAGATATCCAAGAATCTTTGACTCAACAAACTTTAACCAGTTTAAATGATAATATGTCTAAAGAATCAGAAATCTCTAATAAGAAGTAGATAAATAATGAACAGATACAAAGTAACATTTCTCCCAAAATAAGTCCAGAGTATATTATATCTAAGATAAAGAATAATAATATACCAATAAGAAAGATTGAAGCATTACCTGTTGTGATATTAGATGCTGGTGAAGCTTTAGGTAATTATATTTATCAGATTCCTTCTATTGTTAAGCTTGTTGTTCTTGTTATAATAACAATACTAATTATTTGGTATATATACAGGAATATTTTTCATCCAACAAAAAAAGAAGAAAATTTTTATCCAGTATATAGAAAACAGAGTTATAGATTCCTAATCTGCTATGCAAAAAATTCAAAAATACCTTCTATGAAACTATTCCTTATAGATATAGACAAAGCTAATAAACATATTGCATCTCATTGTCAATCTCATCCAGCTAGTCCAATATGGCCCTTTAGAATAATAGTTACAGGAAAAAGTAGATCAGATAAGACTAATATTTTAACAAATCTTTTTCTTGATGATAAAGCTAAATACATATATAAAGGAAAAAAAGATAGTAAAAGATATATTTCTTGTAATGATTTAATAGTTTGTGGTTATTATCCTGATGAGCCAAAATGGGCATTCATTAGATATATGTATAGCATAATTTCAAAAGACCTGAAAGCACCTTATTATAAAAATATATGATTTAGCTATATATTACCAAAAAAAATCCCTAGTGTAAAAGCATTTTCACCTGAATGAAGTATAGCAATTGTTTTTGAGAATTTGTGTCTTATTTCAGAACATATACAGAATTAAATTGGCCAATTTTTTGAAAATATGTGACATCGAAATATTTTATGTATATTTGTGGCACAGAAATATCATAAAATTACTATATTAATACATGAAAATGCTAATTACTTAGTACTTTTTAATTCTGGTAGTTCATATAAAGATGTTTCTAAAATTATTCATAGATATACAGATGATGTAAAAAATGCATTAATGGTTATTAACAGCTATTTATGCAAAAACAAATTTATTGTATTTGATCTAAAAAGGCCTAAGGATGATTTACTTGCAATTCGGCTAAGGTTTGATACTTCACTAGATTTGCAAAAAGAGATAAAATTGTAACAAAAATGCAAGATAAGTTTGAAAAACTATTGCTCTGCAATAAAAAATACATTATCTGCTAAGCCTATAAATTCTGAACCTGAAAAATCAGCCATGTAAGTGTCCTGCTTTGCAGAAATGAAAAGTCTATAGTGTTATAGTATGCACTTTATAGATTTTTATTTACTTCATGCATACCTAATTGTAATGAGTCAGAGAATCGTAGTTTATTGTAAAACAATAGCACTTATATGTCTGCTACTTTTAAGAATAGCATTAGAAAAATAGTAAACAACTACCTATTTACAAAAAATATTATATTAATAAATCAATTTTATTTATGATTCAAGTTCTAAAAGATGTTCTTAAAATCTATTCCATAATTAGTTTTTCTTTCTATCTATCCAATCATATGAAATAATATATTCCTGATATCTACTAATTTCAAATTCAGCAATATATAGAAGTCTATTATATTTTTTTATATACTTGCCATATTTCTTATTAAGATGCATTTTAATTTGATCTAAGAAGATTGAGTTTTTTACTTTGCGAAAAGTTAAATCCAGAAATTTTTTTTTATTGAGAGTGTTATCATTTGCCAAACTGTTCCAAGCAATTCATGCATTTGATGGTTCCTTTTCTTTAAATCAGTGAAATATTCTTTGTATAATCCAAGTATATCCAAAATCAGTTTTTGGTTTATTACATTTATGATCTCAATGTTTCATCATCAAATTACTAGATTCAAGAATTTCTATATATCTACCTTTTGAGAAATGATGTATCTTTCTAGGTTTTACATTATCATTAATATGAATCACTTTCCAACATTCAAAGCAAATCACAGTTTTATTTTTGAATATTTTGGGTCTATAATAATTAAAATCTTCTAACTTACCTTTAGGATAAGAAGTGAATAAGCAGAATCAGTGATATATACTAAATTTTTGTTGAAGTAACAAATCTTGAAGATTGATTCTAACTCACACTACCCATTGAATAAGATTTTTATTCTGTCTTATGATAGACAAGTTGTCATATAATTTTTTAGTTGCATAAAGTCATTCAAGTTGTTTACTACCATAATCACAATAATTTAAGACATATGATTGTATATATCTCATATCATACCTAGAATGGTTGTTAAAGGGTTTAGGTAGTGTTTTATCTTTTTTGTCGATAATAATAGAAATACTAAGACCTGACATATTTGGAATTATTTGACAATAATTTTTTTAATGATTATATAGTTTATAGACCTATTAGATTTTATCAACTTAATATTTCTTTAATTTCAGATTCAATTTTTGTAAGAAATATTGTAATAAATAAATATCGATTAGATATATGAAGTCACAAGGCCTTATTATCTAAAGTTAGACAAAATTTTTTGTATGACTATTTCTGGAAGAAGTATAATAAATAAAAAGTAAGGTGAATACATTCAAACTATTTCTTATCTTATAGTTCAGTGGACGAAACCATGGGAAGCCTGTGTAATCTTCTTCTCCTTACTATGCAGACAATAATAGCTGATAATCATGCTCTCTGTAATAGTGTTTTTATATATAAAAATAAATAGAAAAAATATATGACATGCTTTCAAGGGAGGGAGTACATGAATCCTAAACCATTTAATGTAAATCCCTGCATCATATTATTTTGCTAAAACATTAATATATATAGTTAGAGGCCCTATCAATTCAGTAGTAGAAATGAAATTTTTTGCTTGACTGAAGAAAACTATATTATTAGAAAACAGCTAGATTGCATATTTTTTGCAAACCAAATAAACTACCATCACCAAAGCACTAAGCCATCTGCTCTGTTAAAGCAAGAAGACTGTGTACATATTCGATTACACAACTCACTAAAGCAAACTTGTATCAAGTAGCTATAGAAGTCATCTTATCAACACAAAAACAACCTAGTGTGAAAAGATGAAAGAAAGTGTATTATTGGTAAAAAAAAATCAAAAATTTTATTACAAAAAAAATTTATATGAGGGGATATTACTGTATTACTATATACATAATAATTAATCCTATATTGATATTGTATGTGTTTGTTTATAACAATAATTGTTAGCCTCATGTTTGTTTTTAAGAAGCAGATTACCTGATAAGCTATAAATATCTATACTCTTGTCATGTATATATCGATATGCTTTATTTAAAATTATTGCTAATATCGATATGTGTATGTATCAGATGTTCAATCAATATGCATCTACAAAATTCAATAAATATTTGCCAGTATACAGTATACAAATTTAGAATAAGAACTGTGAATACGTACAAAGAAATATTATACCTGTAAACATATATCTGGCTTTATTTAACACATATGTCAAATAAGATTACACAAAAATTTAATAATTTAAATTTCACTGATCTGTTACTTTAACAGTAGCTTAGCGATTTTATATAGATTTATTAAGAAAAAACTAATAGCACTTCAACAATGGCTTGGCCTAGGTTGAACGATCACTTGATATTTGAATTTATCAGTGATAAAACTTTGACTGGCTTTAATAATCAATGACCAGCATTAAATTTTATGTGGTGCTACCTTAATGCATAATTAATTTTCCAATGTTAATTTTTTAACTATTAATTTTATGAATAACTAGACCTTTTCTTTACCTTATATATGATCCTGTGATAAGAAAATGCATGAATAGGACACTGCAAAGTAGAACACTTTGTGTTTAAAAAGGCTATAAGGGTAATGGATATAACATTCTTTATCAGTAGTTTTATCCAAATTTATATGTCACAGAAATTTGGCATTCCCAGATCGTCGAGATTGTTGACTCTTTTACTTCACAAAAAAGATTGTCAAATATAAGAAGTCTAATTTTACTAGAAAAATAACAAAATAGATTCAGTGTTTGGAACTTATGACTGAGCAGAATTGCTTTGTTAAGTGTGATCTGGTAGTGCTAGAGTAATGTGATTAATAATGTAACTTTTTTCTGGCAGGCTTTTTAGAACTAGTGAATGAATAGTATAAAATAAGCAGGTTTTTATCTATAAGATAAGTTAGCAATAATGTTATTTTTTGCTTATATTTTTTTTATTGTAAAAGTCTTACACACTCACATTTTATTTCTAATGTATGTATTTGTTTTATTCAGAGGGTTTTGACCTACAATTGTTTACAAGAACAACTATGAAAACGAAACTACTCACTATAAATTTTTATGTTTAGAAAATGAAAAAATAGCTACTGAAGTTCCTGATAATTTTAAACCAAAGTTTAGAGTTAGTTTTAGTTCAATTGCTACAAACACAGTAGAAATTAAGTAAGGGGACTCGTTCGAAAAAGTTAAAAGCAAAATTGAGAAGGACTTAAATATTACTGTCAATTGTATTGCTTGTATTCGATATATACAACCAGGAGAGAGGTTTGCTGAAAATTTTTAACCTGAAGAATTTGAAAGAACAGTCTTTATTGTAAATCTATAATAGTGGGACCAATGAGTTATTTTTTTTTATTTGTATTCGCACAATATAAAGTGACATTTTTTTTATTTGTATTATTGTTATTTTGGCAACAATTTTTATTAAATAAAGAAGGAGGGTCCACTGGGCATCCAATTTTTTATTTTTATATGATTTTTGCAATGCAATTTGCGATTATTAATTGATGAAAATAATAGAGCTTTCTTATTAACTTATGCTTTTACAGTCACTATTTGGATTAAATTTTGATATTTATTCTCTCAACATGTAAGACAATATGTTTTTGTATTAACATAATCGCCACTCCTCCACTCACCTTTTACATCATCTCTTTTATGCTCTTTATTACATATGAGACAGGTTTTTGGACAATTAAAATAGTCACCATACTCATTACTATATTTCAGAGTTAAATAAGGAAACTGCTTCAATACTATTTTGATAATATGAGCTCATCTTTTTTTGAGATTACTAGATAAAACAGAAATTGAAGATCAGGTTTTGTTCTCATATAGTAAGAATGCTTTTATATCTGATATACTTACCTGAATTTTTAGCGAAACCTTCTCAGGCAATGCACTTACCTTAGTAGAGCTAGTTATATTAATATCTAATTTTCTTAAGATAGAAGAGTCAGGAGTATTAGATATACTTACCTTAGCTTCCGAATTTAAGAAATTTGAGATCTGAGGTTTGGTAAAGTTAGATGGTTCAGTTATATGAGTGCATGAATTTTTTTCATACAGTAGGGTGTAGTATCACATTTTTCTGTGAAATGACTTATCTCATATATGATTATATTGATTTATGTATCAGTTAATTTTGAAAGTTTATTTGTACTATAAGTCTTAATTCACAAAATCTTATCTTCTTCAATTTCATTAAACAACTTATATATAGGTTTAGTTAGTTGTATTTTTTTATGCAAAATTATTCAGGAAATACTTGAAAGATAACATAACATTTCATCATAAATTTGGCTACTTGCTAGCTTATATGCTTTTTGTTTTGTAAGTTGTAGTTTATTTTTTAGAATTTCAGATAAAATTTCACTATGTCTTTTTTCAAAAAACTTTTTATATGAATACCAGCTAGCAATTTCATCTTGTTAGGGTGTGGTGACTTAGTGAGTAGATAAGTTGTCATACTCCCAAGTGGTAGGTTGTGAGTTCAAAACCTACCAACAGCGAAATTTGGATAATTACTTATGTAATATATAGACAGTATTATGGCGACAGCATTCTGTCAATCAGTTGAGATAGGATACCTGTAACTATAGTTGCACTAGCATGACAGGCAGGTTTGGGGCATTTGTGTAACTTGTTACACAAAGGAATGCAAACCAGTACCAGGTGGTGCAAACCTAAAATAAGTCCTCAGGTTGTGTAAATCCATAGAACTAGGAAGCTGGAGCCCATTTGGAAATTCTGAGCAGAGAGGTAATATGGATTTTCAACGATACTACTATAAAGGCTAAACCTAGAAAATGGATATCAATGTGAAAGATTCGGGCGAGCAAGAATCTCAGATAAGGAGTACCACCAACTAGACTGCCAGATTTTGAACCAGAGGAAAAGAATATTGGGCTGGCCTCAATATACCAAGGACAGGTCACAGTTCTTTCAGGCTATCTGGATTGGAAGTCTTGGTTCAAAGCAGAGATATACTAAAAGTACTAGGAATATGCTATGAAGTCAGTACTGAGGTCTGAGTGAACTCTGCAAGGATAGCCTATGTTAGTGTTCTAAAAGTAGATAGATAGTTAACAACAGGGGGCCCCCTGCATCTTATTGGCAGGTAACATACTTTGAAATGTGTAATGGCCTAAGAACTAGTACAATAAGGGTAGGTACTATACTGCTCAGATGGTATACCAGTTAGGTATATATGAGGGTTAGTTGGAAATTCCAATATGATAGGATGGATAATCAGAGAGTTTAAAATGGATAATCTCCTAGTAGATTATAGATACAGCATCTAGTGTAAAACCTTAGGGTGGACTACTTAAATAGACAACCAAAAATTGCACACATGACTAGCTGTACTCTCATCTTTGTAAAAATAGTTGTAATAGCTAACCTGATATAAAGTCAATAAAGTATTATCACAAGTATGGTCTTTAACAAAAAAAAAAAAAAAAAAATTTATCTTGTTTAGCTTGCATAGCATTAAATTCTGCAAACCAAATTCTTTTGAATAGATATACAATTTGATTGTAGATAATTGGTTATCTGTAGAATTTTTGTCAAAGGCAGTCACACAGTAGCTAAATATAGAGGATTGCTTCTCTGAAGCATCTACATTAACAATTTTAATAGTATCCTTCTTTAAAGTTTTTATATTTAGTTCTTGTATTAAAGGTTTTATATATATTTTAAGTGTTTTATTTTTTTGCTTTATAGGAAGTTGTTCTAATAAATCAGAACTATTACCAGAGATAGTTACAGAGTGGCTAGAGATAGATTATGATATTGTTGACGATTTCAAATTTTGATCTTTGTATGATAAATTGGATGGTTCTGGTGAATTATTATTCGAAGATAAGTTTTGTTTCTGAAGTTTCTTTTTTCTAATTCTCTCTATTATCTCTTTATTAACATATTCTTTACATTTCATTTCTACAAAATCAAGGGTCTTGGCTAAATTATTATTAATAATATCTTGTGGCAAAGAGGCTGTGGATAACTTACCTTTTGTAGAAGTATTATCATGATTTATTTCAGAGTAGTTATAGGATGTAGGGCATTGGCTAACCATATTCTAATATATATTGGCACTATTTTCTATCTGTTCAAGAGTATCATCAGAATTTGACATAAGCCTGCATATTTGTACTAAAGCATTAACAGATATATCAGATACTAAAGCATTATTGGATTCATTAGAATGGCTAGAATTTATCATTTCGGTAAAGGTAATATTAACTAAAGATTGGTAATTATTTAGGATGACCCTTTGGGCCTGATTTCTTTAGCTATATGGTTATTTTTTTCTTCATCAATTGTAATTGCTTTTGTTTTAATTTTACAACTCTAGCTTTAAGTTCAGCATTTTCAGTAACAGTATCTTTATCATTCTGCTCTAATTTCACAAATCTAACTTCGATTTTTGCTTTATCTTGTTTTAATTTTATATTTTCAACCTTGATATCACCATTCTCCTTTCTAAGTTCATCAATTTGAAGAATGAACTTGGTATTCAGTTCTCTCAATGAATCAATTGTGGATTGAGCATCTTCCATTGTTTTATACAAGATACGGATATGTTTAAAAGTTTGAGTCTGATAAAATCACATGACTCCATAAAAAAAATTCATGCACTTTTCTAAGAAAAATTTTTAAAATTTCTCAATCATATGCTGGTTAGTATACATCGATAATAATACAATAAAATAAATTCACTCAATATACACATGCAAAAGTAAACATGATTATTTATGTGAAATTGGCTACCAGGACCAGCTTTATTGCAAAAGTCTATATGCATTATATACAATAAACTGGAAATCTAGTTTTATTCATCTGTAATCGAGGATGTTTTGTATCTAAATATAATAGTATACACCTTTTTTATTTTTCAATATAAACCACACCACATATGTATACACAAGTTAAAAATTACAAGTCCAGGCAAACTTTATTAACCACAGCATCATGTAAGGTATTTAGTTAACTAAAAAATTCTGTAATATTTAATCGAAAATTAAAATGCTAATAACATCTTTCATTGATCAGTACGTTTTGATTGTTTCTTTGGGGTTATTTTTGTGAAGTTATTTCCATCATCAGATGATTCTAGCATTGTATAATTTTCATATCGACTTTCTAAGTTGTTCCATACTTCATTCGCTGAGGCAACCCTTTCTTTAAATGCCCACATCATCTGCAGAACAAAGACAAGTTTTGTGATATCATTGTTGGAAATCTTTATAGACCCGATTTTTCGAGCTATGTAGAAGAGATTAATGTACTCCATCTCAAACAAATCTTGTGTGTATCTATAACACTGTGAGCCATATACGCACAAACCCTCTTTTGGTATCTTGTAACCTAATTCACATTTTTCTTTCTTAGATATATGAAGCATATCTCTCATTTCTCGAAGCAATTTATAAAGATCTTCAGCTGTCTTCCATCTATCTTGATCTTGCAGAGCATAAGATATTTCCATAACAAAGCATTTACGCCCATCATTTGATAATCCCAATTCATCTCCTTTGTGCCCTGTTGCAACTCTTGGAAGAGAGAAAATATCACACCCACTATCTTTTCTTAATGCTGTCAAATCTAACTTGACCTCTCCCCATGTATATTCTACATATCCACTCTGTATCACTTTCCCTGTTATAAAGCTCATTATTATACTCCACATGGCCTCTGTAGTTGAGGGATGTGAGATCATGCTTCTTTTACTTGTGAATTCGCTAATAAAGATATGGATAACTAGTAATGCATATTGCTCAAACAAGGTCACCTATAGCTGTTCACACTTGTGCAAATTTCCACAATAAAGTCTGCTTCTTATCTTCTATCTTTTGAAAAACCGACTAAGTCTCTCCAATAAACTTTCTTCTGCGAGATGTAGTTTTTGGCCTCGGATTTGCTCCTAGCTTTTTTTCAAACACATAGATTTGAGTATGTCATTCTGGAAAGTTACCACAATGCTATCATTCTCTACTCTCTATTGATGCAAGTCAATTTTAAGCAAATACTTATTCCACACATCAGTGAAATTATCACCAGATTTAAGGATGCATGGCAATGTTTGCTGTGGGTATTCTGTCATTACTAGATCATGTGAAACTTGCGTAGATGGACCAGAAAAGAATTCATCTATTATATCCTTGTCATTATTGAATAATTTTTTGCCTGACATCGGAAAAGGATCATTGTCGAGAAAAAATTGGTTTTTAAGAGAGACAGAAGATAAATTCTCAACTGATTCCAAAAAAGGACTGTTTTCAGTACCATCATCATCTTCACTATCCTGTTCATATTGCAATGAGTAATATATTAGAATTGTTAGCCTGGCAACAATAAAATCCTATGATAGTTATCACCTTATTTGTCCTGATACATTTTGCTGTTCTTTTGTTGTCATTATCAAAAAACCTCTTCATTATGCTGGTGGTGGTTGATTTGGCATATTGTTGAATTTGTTCTGTCACTACTGTGGCAACGGTTATGTACTGGTTTGTCTACGGAAAATGGATCAAGAGTGAATGTTTTGACCTATCACGTTAGATTTGGGTGGAATGAAAATGAATTGAGTACCTGCAACTTTTGAACCTTCGCATTGGCTTTTTCTTTTCGAAAATTGATCTTATCTTCAACCAACTGGTTCTTCATTATAAGATTTTGTCTTTCGTTTTGAAGTTTTCAAAAATTCTTTATCACTTATGACATTTACTTTCCTATAAAACAGAAGTTCTAAGTACCTGAACTTCATTTGATAATTTGTCCTATTCACGTGCAAACAACAATAGGTAACATCACGAACAAACAAGCACACAAATTGTATCATTCGATTATTGAATATATATCTTTTGCGACTACTATGAGTCTACAAAATCCATTAAGCATAGCTTACCAACAGACAAGCAGTCATTCCTACTACAAGCACGCAAGATTGTAGAGTAGTTGGTGTACTTAATGATATGATGAGTCTCAAGGCAGTTAGTGGAGCAAGCTCATCAACAGACAAGCAGTCTTTCCCCTACAAGCTGTCAGGTTGCAGGGTAGTTGGTGTACTTATTACCCTGATCCAAAAATTATATACGTTACTTGCCTTAAAAGCATTTTTTCACCTTTGCACTTCCTGCCCAGACTTAGATGCTTCAGCATAAAATTTGCTGATTTTGTCTAATTCTTTCTTGTAACGATTGTATTCAACTCTTGAATCTTCTATGTCGCCAGCTGAAAGCTGAAAATCTAAAAATTTCTTGAGAGAAGGCTGGTCCGTACTCTCCCAAAAGGCTATATAATCGCAAATGATAAGTTATATTGTAAGCATAAAGAACTTTAGTACTGTTTATCTTATCACAGTATTTCATAGCGTTAAGACATTTAGGAAGGAGATACATAACATCAGAGTTAGTCATGAAAAATAAAACCCGCAACAAAAGAAATTTGAAAATACTAAAATTTTTTAGGGTTGCATTTTTTTAGGGTTTGGGCTAAGATTTATAATGTGCATTTTGTCTCACAAATAAGTTATGATAAAATTGGAACTGTTTAACCGTATAAAAATTTTTTATAGTGCTGGATTGAATTATGTTTATCATGGGCCAGGCCAATTTTAATGCCAGCTGAATTAAATGGTTAATATGGTTAAACGATTAACTGGTTAAGAAAATTTTAGGTGGTTCCAATTTCTACTTGTAAGGTAATACAGATAAATTTCATTATTCTAACACATTTAGGTTATGTGGTCAAGAATTTTTACATTCGCATTGCTTATATATTCCATCCACTACCATTTTGCATGTTTTATAATATAAGTGTGAATAGTGATTGCATTCATCACAAACCTTACACCTATGCTTCCAACCTCTAAAGATATGCCACTTTTCAAAGTAATTTTTATTTATATACATGTTATTCAGATTTTTCATTATTATTATACATATATTAACAGAAAAAATATTATGTGCCTAAAAATTTTTATTATACAAGCATATAATGTTTATGCCCCACCTCACATGCATAAACCTTAGGTCAAGATCCGTACATGTTGATTAAATGCCTATTGCTATATTTAACAATATTGCAGTATTGGTATGTATAAACTTTATTATAAATTAAATTATATACTGTAATTATATATATATATGATTTACTAATAAAAAAATATTTATATCACATTGGTGTCAACTTGGGGGATGCGATCTGCACTAATTAAAATGCTTTATAATATTATAAATTTGTGTAGAATTGAGCTTTGAAATATAATCAGCATTATATGTTCGAATTCTCTCAATTTTTTCAATTCCTATTCCTTTAACTATTTTTTTGATATTGGGGTCATAACTTTTTCCAAACAACTTGTAGATATTTCTAGCCTTTGCAGTTTTTTTACACAAACTATCTCTTGTAAATCCCAGAAGTTTGGTTGCGACTTCATCATATACTAACCCTCTAGCTTGTTGATCATTGTACCTACTGTTATCATTTTTTATTTCTTTAACTCTTTCTTCAAATTTTTTAGCAAACAGATACTAGCATCTTATTTCTTCTTGATAGGCATGAGTTACATGGTTTTTTGCCCAGTTTGCATTATAGTATAACTGGAGTAAAGTTATTGGTTTTGATTTTTTGCTCTTATTTCCTTTATCATTATCATTAATTGGCTCACTTAGCATAGATAGTTCTTTTATTAAACCTTGTACTTTATCAGGTTCTATGGATTTTGTTTCACTTCGTAGGATAGTTTATCACCATCTACAGATAACTTACTTATTGCCCCTGTTAGATTAAAGGTTTCTTTACCTTCATCTTTTACTGCTTCTGATATATTTATGTCCTGAACTTCAGCTAATGTCATTCCTTCATTATCTACGAAACAAATAGGACAAGTTTTTTGCTTATCTTTATTACTTTTTTTAAAACAGTTATAATGGAGTATATGACTATACATGAGTGTAATAAATGTTTTAGATGGATTTAACAAAATTTCTTCATTACATTTATGACAATTCTCTAGCTCTAGTATTGTGATACTATTTGCGAGAGAGTTTGGATGACCTTTTAAGATATTTATTCCTAAGTTTTTAATAATTCTGCTCATTTGGAGTATTTTTTAGTAAGTTCTCCTTCGCTAAGTGGTTCATTACTCATAGTATAGGTTATGATGAGTTGGTTAATGATGAAAATTTTTCTTATTATTTCATACTTATCTGACTATATATTATTTTTTTACTACTTAGAATTATTTGATAACTAAAAAATAAATGAATATAATATCTAAATTAATACATTTACCTGAACTTTAACCAGATAAGTCTTTGAAATTTATTATTCATTTATTCTGTTTTATAATATATTTCTATATTAACAAACCTATTTGCAGATTTTATAAAATCTCATTTCAGATTTGGCGATCCATTCATTCACAAATTAATTAGTATGAGCCAGAAGAGTCATGTACATTTTCATAATAAGACACGATCCAAAGAATTATCACTAAATCTTCTATAGCAATTGTGAAGAAAAGGGAGTATACACTTCATAGATTTTTATTTCATTTTGACATTACCAATTATAAGAAAAAAAATATTAATATAAAAATATATTTCTCAATTGTGATCTCAAGAATAGCATTAAGAAAACAATGAATAGCTACTCTCTTGATTCCTGTCTATAAAGGACCCACTAATGATCTGCAGAAGATGGTTTATCATATTTGTTTATTTTAGATTGTCATTGCTTTAAGCATCTGCTCTATTTTATTATCTGATCTTTTGTGATTCTTTCATGATTAAGAAATTAATTAATTTTTGAGATGTAAAAAGTAATGAGGTTTTATACTTTTTGTCTCAAGCTCTTGAAACAACTGGAATTTGCTAGAAAATTTATGAAATATGATATTGTGATCTAGAGGTTACATACTATCAACTTGCATTTACACAATTTAAAAAAAAATATATATATATAATTCTATTGTAAAGCAGACCCAATAGATGACCCTAAAGAGTTATGATGACACAGAGTACTGAATCTCCGATTCTTCTTTGTATTTAAAAAATGTTTCAAGTTGGTATATGTTTCTTTTTCTCACTAATTTAGTTTATATTAGTAAGCTAGATATATGAGATACACATTTATTTTGATACTTCTTTGAGAGCTTAATGCTTAAAACTCTTTGTTCAACCAACTCTGAAGATATTCTATTTGATACAAAATTTTTAAATGCTTGTATATGCCAATGACTATATGGTAAACTAGTTATTTTATCAGATAATATCCAATGTTTAGTATTTATAAGACAAAGAGCCTTTTTTTCTAATTTGACCAAAAATAATATATGGTCTTTTGAATGAATACCTATATTTTTGGCATAGAATACTTCCTTATCAAAAAGACTGTCCTGATATACTAGGGTCATAAGATCTGACTCAGTTCGCATAGCTTCTTGCTCTAATAATAATGATCTATCTATTGGATTATCTTGCAAGGACCTTTCTAAAACTGGCATGTATGAATTTGTGGCCATTTCATTTATACCTTTTTTGCTAACCCTTTTATGCTTAGATTTTGTAGACTTATCTGCTAAGACATAGTGGTATAACTTGGCCTGAATATAATAAGATTCCATAATCATATTGCTTAGAGTCTCATTTTTAAAAAACCCAATAGTCTTAGAATCATTAAGATCAAAAAGATCAGGCCACTCTGCTATGTCTTTATAGATATCTTCAGTTTCAACTTGAAATATAAATAAGTCTGTGTTTATATATCCAAGCTGGGCTTTATTACTATATCTTTCTTTTACATATCTATATCAGAAGTAATATATTAAAAGTTTGCTAAGGCCAAGAACTGATGATCTGACAATAATAAGCTTATTGAAAATTACACTAGCTTTTCCCATATGTACTCCAACAAGTGTATTTCCAAGCTGTCTAGCATATTTAAAAGAGGGTTTACAGATCTGCTTAATAAATTTCTTTTCATCTTGCTTATTATTCATAGCTATGAGCTTGACATCTTGGTATTTGTAAACATTTTTCATAGTTTTGCCATATACTAGTGCCTTGTTACTTTTTTGTATTAAAAGCTATATAAGGTGTAAGCCAGTTAGTTTGATTAAAAGATAAGATTTCTATTATCTCATCTACTATCATACCTAATTTTATATAGTATTGAAGCTCTAAATAATGAATAACATATTCTTTTTATGGACCAAGATGAGGTACTAATTTTTCTGTTGCTAAGAAATGTCTATCATTCATGCTATTTACAAGTTCTGTAATATGAAGGCTTAACATATTTTTATTTATAGTCATATTTTCTATAGCTAGAGGTAAATTACTCAAATATTCATGAGTTTTTAAAGAAAAATATGCATTAATCTTTAGAAAATATTCTTTTTTAGCATCTGCTTTGGTATTAAGAATCTTATTGAGATATTTCTTTTGCTCATTTCAATTATCCTCAAGATATTTGCGACTTACCTCCTATTTATAATTTCCAATAGGCAAATATTAACTCATAGCCCATCTATAAAGATTATTGACATTGACATAGCTTATTCATGTTGTTGGTTTTGATGGGTTAAAGGCCTTATTCATTTTGGGATTATTAGCTTTAAAATATCGATAACTAGCTATAACTATACTTTCATGTTTAGTATCTTCTATAAAATCATGCATAGACATATCTGTAAAGAGCTCGATTTTAACTTCTATTATTTTAAATATAGCATCCCAAGCTAGTGCAGGTACTAAAACATAATGGCTAGAATCAAGCTCATAATACTGCATACATGTTATTTGGAATTGAGTCCAAATATCTGCAAAACTAAGTACATCAATCTTAAGATAGAGATTATGATACTCTTCTAGAGTCTTACAACTAAAAGTTTTCCATACTTTTTGGGCATAATGATAGTTATCTTGTGAAATTTTGTCTTTAAAAATACTATGAAACTCATGAATAGGAAAAAGCCCAGTCTCTAAAAATCTATTCTGTAAATTGATATACTTATAAGAATAAACTCTTTTACAACTTGCTAGTGAAATTTGATCTAAAAAATAGTCTTTAAAGTGCTGACTTGTAATAGGATAGTTGGTACCCAAATTTTTTATAAGATTTGCCAAGCTATTATTTATGAATTGCATGCTATCTATATATTTAAGTTGACCTATCTTCATAGATTATAATGCTTAAATGTTTCAGTTATAACTTTTATCTAATGAGCATTAACAGATTTTCCAACAGATTTACAGACTAAATGAGAGTCATAGCTCTGAAAATTATGAAAGACAACTGGGATAGGAGTTTTCCATAGTTCAATCTGAAGTTTGAGATTGCAAGCATTGTGAACAGGTCCTCAAAACTTACCTGTTATATAACAATGATCCAAAACCTTATTTTTATTATCTATATTGAATTTATCTTTATATATCCAATAGGTATTTGTTTTAGCAAATTTTTTCTTGTTTTCTTTAGTCACAATTCAGTCATGCTTTATAGCTAAGACCCTATTAATTTGAACTAATTTCTTATCAATTCTTTTGACAAATTCCTGAGTAGCATTTTCTTCTCTATATAAGAATGGGCCCTATATCTTTCCAGTATCGATCCAGTGAACCAAGTAGCAAAAGCTATTGGCCTTTTGTTCAGCAAGCTTTCACATTTGCTCTCTATATTTCTTATCATATTTCTTATTATCAGCCTCAAAGTTAGCTATAATAACACATGAAGCATTGATCATTCATCCATAGTTCTTAAATTTTTCAAAGTTATTGACATCCTTGATAGGTAATTTGACTTCTTGAGTTGCTTCTCCTAAACCAAAATAGTGCTTTTGATGATAGGCTAAAGATTTTTTTGATGACCAGCTTATAGTACATTTTTTACAAATATATCTTTTACCATGATAAGTAATATCTTTGAAAACTAGTCTATTTATATTTTTAATCCAAAAAAAGTAATTTTTTTGTCTATACTTATTATCTTCAGATTTAATAATATCTGTAAGAGCTATAAGGTCAATAATATATTGTCTACTATAATTTTTGCTTGCTATTACAGGTTTAGGAGTAGCTGTTTCTTCTTTCTATTCCCAGATATTAATAGAGATATCTGGATTTATCTTCTCAATTTTATTAAAAATATGTGAGCAAGTTGGAGTTGACATAGAAACTCCATCTAAATTGACTATATTCAGATATGGTTAAAGAACAGAAAGATGTTGTAACTTTTTATTTTTACCTCTATTGCTTACAAAGTATACATTTAAACATATTTTAAACACATGTCATTACCTATTTAAGAGTTATCTGAATTAATAGTGCATTTAGTATTGGTAAGCTTTTTTGGAGTCAAGATATATGATCCACCAAATGCTCATTGATATGTATAAGCTTTAATAGTTAGTATTTCAATCCTTACTAAATTTTATTCTAATCCTGATTTCATAAATAAGTCTATTTCATTATCTATTTCTAATATGGATAAATCTATATGTTTATTGATATCTTCTTCTGTAAGAATAACATGCATAAGGCTTCTATGATAACCAATCATATATGTTGAAATTTTAGATTTGTCTTTTTCTTTGCTAATATGCCTATAATATATATATTGAGCAACTAATGTAGTTTTTATTTGATCTTTTTTCTGCAATTCAACTTTAAGTACCCTTGTAATTTGCTTTCTTGCATTTGCTATAAGTTGAGACATATATGAAACTTCTAAATATTTATTTGGGTTCTGAACATAACAATTAAATTTATATTTTATATTTTTAAAAGATGGAATAATTGCTTGCTATAAACTTATTGCTGTTAAGTTCTGATAGGGTCTTAATAAGTTAGGAGTAAAACTAAATTTACATTCTTCAAATATTAACTCTTTGTTTGTTAGTTTATAGTTTGCCATATTAGTTTACTACCAAAATTACCCTCTATATTTATAATATTTCTTTTTGAATAGTCATAAAGCAATGATCTACCTAATTCAAACTATTTTTCATCAGTATTTGTATTATATTTATCTTCTATATTATCAAACTATTCTGTATCATTTTGGGAAAGATTCAAAGAAACATTGTTTGAGCTTTGAATAGATAATGATAGTATATTATCTAATTGAATTAAATCACCTACTGGAACATGGGTTTGTATCAAAATTTGATCTATAGCTGAATTTTGTTGTAATGGTGTCTGCGAAGTAGGAGATGTTTTGCATTCTGAAGCTACAATAAGATTTTAAGTATTACTGGGTTTGCATGAAAATTTACAATTTATATGTGCATCTCAATCTCAAGTCTTTTTGAAATTATTTTTTCCACATCTAGGACATGGAGATATCATTTTGTATATGCATGCTGGTATTTCGTTGTTTGTATTAATATATCAGATCTTTTGTTTAAATTAAAATTATTCATATTTATATACTATAATAGGTAAATATACTTGTAATTATTTACTCAGAACTGGAGTTATTTGTGGATATACTTGTTATAGACCTGAAGGATGCCATAAATATTGGAAGGCTAAAAAGCATTTTTCTTGTAAAGTTTGTAGCAAACCAACTAGTGCTGAGCCTAGAACATGTAAAAAACATGCTAAAGGATATTATGTTATAAAATGTTTAGATAAAAAGAAGGCTTATAATGATATTAGATATGTTGATATTAAATAACATGGAATTTATTTTTTAGTCATCATCCAATTTAGCTATATAAATAAAAAATAGAGGATTCTAGCTATATAAAAATTTATACTACATTTTTATATAGATGAGAAAAAATAATATAGAATAAAGGCTTGCAAAGTCATGAAAACAACAAGATAACTACTTTGGTATCCGAGATGTAGAAAAAATGTATCAAAACTTCCATTTTCACTCTACTATTTTCAAAAGAAATATTAGTAAAGTTGGGTAAAGGATTAGTTTCTTGTGAAAGATAAATATGTACTTCTTCAAATTTATTGTTTTTAGATATTTTAATAGAAATTTTTATATATTGTTCTGAATAGTATTTTGGATATTTATTTTGAATAAATTTTAGAAATGAGCCTATTGATTGTGGTAAAGGCAGAAGTTGTAGGTTATAAAAGAAAAGGAACTTGTTGAAGCATGTTAAATGATTGTATATTTTTGAAAGATTAGAAATTTGAATGAAGGTTTTTTTTTAATAGTTTTGGTAGTTAGTGAGTTGATAGTATCATTTGAATCTTCTGTTGATGATTTATAGTCAATATTAGTAGGTTTAAAATTTGTTGGAGTATTGATAAAAATGTTGGGTATTTGTAATTTTTGAGAAATAGATGTAAAAAATGTTTCTGAAAGAGAATTTTCAGAAGGATGTGATGAGTCATTATTTGAAAAGTTAGATTTTTTTTATAGATACACTCACAATATATTCAGTTTTCACAGTTGCAAAGGATACTATAGTCTGTCTTATACATTGGGTCTGACTATTATTAACTCAGTCCTTTATATAAATAGCTTTTCTGCTCACCTACTTATATCATTCTCTTCCAAAAATAGCACACTTTTAGTGAAGAACATCATTATTTTGGAAGTGGCAACTGTATTTATATTATTTATAGAAGGATTTATTGAAAAAGTGAACTATAGATAGTAGTTGAAGTCATAAAGAGAGTATCATCCTGTATTGAAGAGATTTTAATATTATAGTGTTTAATGATAAATTTTTCTATTTCTAGAAAATACTTTAGATTATAGTTGAGTTGAATTTGAGAGATAAAAAATTTTGATTGACTTTGGATATGGAAATAAAGAATTATATATGCTAGGATATGTAGATTAATAGTAGATATAATAATTTTTTCTAAAGCTTTGTTTAGTTCAAGATCTGAAATACAGTTATTTTTAGCTACAGTATTTAGATAAGCTTTAAGATAAGAATAGAGATAGAAAGCAGTTCATTTGAGATTTGTTTCTAAATTGTTAATTTCAGCAAACTTTTGGTCTGCTTTAATTATAAGTTCATTAAGTATATAAAGTGGTATAGTTTTTTTGAAAGTTGCTATATATTGTTAGTTTGGTTAGAAGATTATATAATCTGGAGTAAATAGTGTAGTTTTAGAAGTTGTGTTGTCTTTTGAAGGTGCTAGAAATATTTCAAAGGATTTGTCAAAGTAGTGAGTAGATATGTTTTTGAAAATATGTTCTGTGTTATCAAATAAAAGTTTGTAGTTTTTGTCTTTGCATATATAAATATAAAAGAGTACAGCTTTGGTAGTTAGAAAGGAATGCTCTTGAAAAAAGATAGGTTCTGTAATTTAAAAGTCTGAAGATAGAAATTTTTTGCATTTCTTAGCAAGTATGGTTGCAATTTGGTATTTAATATAGTTTCTAACTTTATCTTTATTAATTTTAGTAAATTGTTTTTGGTAAGCTTTAAAGAAGTTCACATACCATATATTGAAGTTTTAGGTATAAGACTTAAGTGATAGAATTCGAAAAGTGGTAGTAAATTTGGTTTTAAGAATATTAAGAGTAATAGTAATAGTAAAGCAATTGTTGTTATAAATACTGAATAAGGGTTTTGAAGTGTCATATTTAAAATTGTATTTTATTAATAATCTAAGAAAATAAAGTTTTAGTTTCTTAATGAATTTTTGATAGTAAATTGTTTAATATTTGTTATGAAGAAATAAGTATAGTCGAGCAAAATTAATTGCTATTTTACAATGATTAGAGATTAGATGAGATAAAATTGAGTAATAAGAATAAAAAATATACAAGTAGTTAAGTTTAGTAAAAAGAAGTTCAGTAAATTTAGTAAGTAGGTTTTTAAGTATTAAGATATAAGCATATTGTAGAATATTGAGTTAAGGTGAGATTGATAAGTTAGATTGTCAAAGAAAGTTTGTAAGAAATTCTGGTTTTTCAGCAGCTATTGTTTTAAGTAAATAATTAAAGCTTTGTTTTTGAGAAGGTTTTTGGTTTGTAGTTGGTTAAGTATTATTTGGAATAGAGAGAATTGATTGCCTAAAAGTAAATTTGCAAAGGTAAATTTTTGAGAAGTTGAAAAGTTGTTAAACAAGTGATGTATTAAGTTTTGTATTTGGTTTCATGTTTTCAGTAATTGGATAGTTAAGAAACCAGTCCAGGTAATTGAAAATATCTCTGGGTTGATTAGTTGTGTTTTTATGTTATTAGTTTTGTTTTGTTTGTTTAGAGTTTTGGTTCTTTTCTTTTCTTCTAAGAGTAAATTTTTGAAGAAAATTAATTTTTTCTTCTTTGGTAAGTTTGTAAAAATAGAAAAAATAAAAAATAAAATATTGTTCTTGAGTTTGAGAAAGAGGTTTAAGTTTAGTATATTGGAGGCTGTAGACACAGTCTCGATAGAATAGAAAGTCTTTGAAAATTACAGCTGTAGAGTAGTCTGGTGCATAACATGTTTTTTGAATAAGAACATATAGAGTATCTTTCTTTTTGCATAGAATGCATATGTGTTAATGTTGAAAGTATAGAATAATTGTCACAGGTAATGGATCTGTATAGAATAAGAATAGTAAAATTTGAGAAGTAAATAGAAGATTTTGTTGTTGTTTAGTAATAAGTGAGTTAGATAGTTTATCAACAATATTGTTGAAGCAATTTTTAAAAATCACTGTAATTGAAGAGATATTCATTGCATTTAAGCCAGAAAATTGATGAAGAGATGTAGTATGTGTAATTTTGTAATATTTAAAAGTAAAGTTGGTATGATATTTGTTACAGTAACAAGTAGACAACATAGTTTGAAATGGCATTTTGAAGTAATGTTATTGCTTATTGAATTCACATTTTGTAGAATTAACATCTTTAGGTAAGATATATAAAGTAAGTGAATCAGTTTCTTTAGTTCCAATGTCAAAGTGATCAGGAAATTATTATAATAGTAGTCTAAATTATAAGAATCAGGTTCATTAGTGATTAAGGTAAGCATTTTGGTTTGATGTTATTATGATAATATTAAAGAGATCGATGGCAACTTCAAAAAAAAGTAATTATTAGTTTATATAATATTATACTCTTTGTATTACCTTTTGTGGCTAGTGTGGCTGATGGCTGATAACTGATGTAACTTGTAGTACAATGTGAGGTTTATGTAACTTCTGCTAAAAATAGAATAAAGTATATACAAGATTGTGTAATTTTAGAATAAGTACAAATTTGTAATTATTTGCTTTTGTGTTAATTAATTAAGAACTAAAAGAAAAATAGTTATAAAATAATAGTTAATTGAGTAAACCACTAGAAAATGGTGTTTTAAAATGTGTTTGAGGTTCAGATTTGAAGGAGGTAAAGAGAAAAGAACAAATTTTTAGAAAATTTTAAGAAAATTAGCTATTTGAAGTTTTTTGCTTATAAAATAACTAATTTTTAATTATTTTTGATAAAACTTATATCAAAATAAAGCCAGAGATAAGCTGAACAACTTTATCTTAAAGTACAAAATACATTTTCTAGGCTGTATTTAAATATAAGTAATTTTAAAATGTTTTAACAAATAATTATTTAATTTATTTAATATTTAAGCTAGCAATATAAAATTTTGTATATATATGTAAAATAGGATAAAGAACAGATTTATTTTATTTAAAAAATATATTTAATTATAAATTGTTAAAGAAAATTAAATTTTCTTTAGCAGAATTTTGGTACAAGTGATCATCAGAAAGAGTTAACAATTTGTATTTCTTTTCTTTTTTAAAATGTTAAATAAAAATAGTAGAAGTAGTTTGACTTATAGATTGCCTAAAAGATGTTAAGAGTAGGGTGTAATATTTTAAAATTATATATAAACTTAATGGTATTTTTTTTTTATAATTTCAATTATGAAAATTTTTACTAATTAAATATTTTGTAAGCTTCTAAATAAAATTTTAGAATAGGTTCTTGTGATTTTAACAGTAATAAAATTATTAAAATTGGCATAAAACTTATTGATATATGAATTTTTAAAGATTAGATATAAAAATTTACTATTAAAATTCTTTTATAATTTTTTAGAAATTAGCCAATTAAAGTTAGCCTTTTGTGTAACCTTAAAAAAAACATAAGGCTTCTCAGAAGAATTTAAGATATATACAAATAGAATTTTTTTAAAGTAAACTTTTTATAAAATTTTAACATAATAAATAACTTATTTAAACCTATATATTATTAAATTTTAATAAAAATTAATTAAAAAATAAAAAAGTTTTATTAGTAATACATTTTTAATTTACTATATAAAAATCTATTATACCATCTAGATCATATAAAAAATAATCTACATACACTCTACTCTTAAATAAAAAATGCTGTAAAATTAAGAAATAAAACTAGTATAATATACTCTACAAAGACATATAGCAATAGTAGGTTATTAAAAAAAACTTTAAAATAATGATATTTTTTAGAAGTTATATTACAATTAATTAAATTAATATTTGCAAAAAGTATATATAAAAATTAGGATTTTTTTTTGACTATTTCTATACTATAGTGATCTTTATATCTGTTATAATAATAGTTAATATCATAGAAGTTAGAATCTTTAAAACTAAAGTAAATATAGTTTAAAGTTTAAAAAATAAAAATAAAATAAATAACAAAGATCTTAAATATAAAAGAATTTGAAAAATATAAGATGTGCTAGTTAAATAAGTATAATAAATAATAGAATATAACAAATAAAAAATGTGATAAATAAATAAATGTAACAAATAAGTAATACAAAACAACAAAGACTAAATGTAAATAGTTAGTTAGCAAAAAAGCCTTTTGGAGTTCTACAATTAGATAATATACTCTAAAATATGTAATAGTTTGACAAATATACAAACAGAAAGGTTAAAGTAAATTAGATAACACTTAGATATATAAGAACTTGTA